ATTCTCACTTTTCATGTTATCCACAGACATACATTAATGGGTGTGAAAATCTGCAATTCATCGCTCATTGATCGTTTACGTAAAGTGAAAAAAAAAAAATCGCGAAGGTTGAATGTCTAATGAACTCATAACACAAGAAATTTATTTGTCTCATATTTTCGGTTGAACAGACAGCGGAAAGAAAATCACCACGTGGCACAGGATTATTTATCAGCGGATCGAGTATCATATGTTGTAAAACAATCAAGATAACTACAATGTGAACACAATGTGAGCCCGCGGTGTGACGTCTTGTTGTTAAAAAAGATGAGCTATTGACACTTTTCATGTTTTCCCTTTCCCCAAGAGGCGTTACTATTGTATTCCGTCAAACAGCTGAACGTTGTTTAACATCACATAATTCTTGAGAAGCATGGTCATCGTAAAATGAACGGATCTGAAGTGCTCGCAATAATTTACCCCTTTATTTTTAACCATTGGAATATCAAACAACGAATGCTTCCACTCGTGTTCCAACGTTTCGGGGTTTGAAATTGCGATCGTTATGTTAAAATTTCATTCAGTAGATTTTTGAGGGTCAAATGATTGAATTGAAAATATTTGAGAAAGTGAGAAAAAATTCCAATGGCCTTTGGAATGATAATAAGACAATTACGACGCGTTAGTCGTAAAAGAAAAGATTAATGAGACGAAATGCTCAAGGTCGGGAGTGTTTAGCCCCACGTCATCGGTTTACGATAAAACTTTTGTGAATCGAGTCGAGGATAGTTGAATTTATAATGTGAAAATGTACGTTACGAATTATTGCTGTGTAACTTATTGTACTGGCCATCCCCCCTTGATCGACCACGATCGCGCACGTGATTTGCCATGGTCGTTCGGTGTGCACCCTCTTGATATCGCGGAAGGGTAATCTATAGACGGACCTTGTAGCACGTATCCTTGGTATTGCTAATCAGGGTGGGTTTTACACGTTGCGTCAACATATTACAGTTACCCGGAAAGGAGGAATTCTATTACTGGTCGAATTGATGAGACATGTTCAGTGGGGAGAGTCAATTCGTCAGTAGTTTGCGAATATCTCGGAAACCGAAGGTGATGGCGAAAAACTTCTAAGGAGCTTTTTTGTATCACTGGAAATTCTCTACAAAAAAGGTCTTCACGTAAATCGCGCTATCTCTTCTGAATTCCGCGATATTTAGCAAAAACATTATATTTGAAACATTAAAACCACTGTTCCAGGAATTGTCGTAGGACTTGACGGCAATCGTTGAATGGAAGATCGAAAAGAGCGGATTTCGAATTGTGATAAGAAGCCGTGGATATCGCTTGGATAACGGCCGTGGCGTCGTGCATGAGTGATACACGGGCGCCGGTGACCAGTGACCCCACATGGACGCCGAGCCCAGAGCACCCGTTTCACCTACCACCAAACCTGACCTTATCCTTGATACCTTATTATTTCCCAACCGACTTACCAACTTGACGCATACGTTGCCCCCATTATTTTACATTATTTTCTCCATTCAATCGGTAAATTTACAATTAGAATTGTCGATAAGCCTCCCCCGACAGCCATCGGCATCACCAACGTGCCTCAACCCCCTTTTCTACCAGCCCGAAGAACCAATTTATTATTACCTACTAGTTCCGTACTCATTACCGCCCCAAAATCATTTGCTGAGCAATCCCCAACCCGACGACACCGCTGGCGGTGGTAGTTTCGGGTCGTCTAGAAGAAAATTCTCTGATGAAAATTATACATCGGGCTCTCATGATCTAAGACAATCACTGGTGACTAGCGCGTCCGTTGCCATCATCCGTCCAATTAGCAGCAGCAGAGAGTCCCCTAGAGTTGACGAAATACAATGTCACGAAGCGCTGCCACAAGCCCCGTTACTGGTAAGTCTCATTTTATTTTTTTATTTCAATTTATCAATACTCGATCATCAGAAGAATTTTATTCCGAAATATTGACGAAATAAAATCGTAAATGAATTTTAAGGAGAGTTTTAACAAATTGAAAGGGAAATGAATCATTTATTGAATCGTCTTCAATTGTGAATATCTCTGGACACAATCGTTCGATTTGATCGAGTCACCCCTCATTTTCAAGCTTGCAAAGCTATCGTGAAAATGAAAGAAAAAACGCGCAATTTCAATCAGCAGTTCCCGCCATAAAGCTCCACCCCCGCAAGCACAAATTCAAAGATTCCCGGGATTGGCGCCACCTTCGCGAAAGCTCTCTCGCGTACAATTCGCCCAGAGTCAGTAGTTTGCAGAGGGAAGTACCCTCCACCTACGATATCTCCAGTGATAACTACAGCATTCGATCCGCCGGAGTGAGTGAGCGAGCGAGTGAGTGAGTGAGTGAGCGAGAAAGATCGCCCAAGGGGCGCAGTTTCGAATATCTCCCTCTACACTTCCTCCCAGCTGAATCTCCACTTCCATTTCTCAGTCTTCATCGCCGGTGGTGTAACTCACGCACTAGTTTTTTCACAACTCACATTACCCTGAAGATCATTCAATTGACGGTAATCGTTGACGCCTCCAGGATTCCGAAGGACATCGAGTGCATTAAAATTGGCATTTTCAATCGACTGAGGCAAAGAACAAGTGACAAACCCCAACATCTTGAAGATGGGTAGCAGAATAGAATAGTTGTGTGGAGAAAATAAAAAGGATTACGATGTAAAATGAAGAAACTTGGACTCTCTGTTAGTTCAGCTCATCATCGTTGAGCCGTTCGTCGTCATCAAGTAGAATAAGTCAATCTTATTGAGAGCACATTAATACTTCAAGTTTTCCAAAGTAACGTGCACTGTAGGAATTTTCGACGAATGAAAAAAAATGTGCGCAAGGGTGTCGAGAGACACGGCAGCATGCTCTCAGTATGCAATCATCGTTCAATCGATCGTCGTAACAAACCCTCGAATATTTACACAAAATAAGTAAAGTGAGCATTAACGTCTGAATAATCCACGAGAAAATCAATGTTTCACTTAATTTTTTTGTCATCATTCTTTCGTTAGCCCTCGTTTTTTTTTTTTTGCATTCTCGTAACAATTTTCTCGGTTTTATCACGAGTTTTATTGCTGCTCCGAGGTGCAGTGGTTTCACTACTCTAGTTGAGTGCTATTTTTTTTCTCCTCAGTACTCAATCTTCCACCACAAGCGAAACTGCGCATAGTTGCCGAAACTCAATGCACGAGCGAATGGGAAATCATTATTAATCTCGTTACTTCTGTTGATTTATATTAATTTTTTTTCCCCCTCGTTAAGCGATCGTTACGCGACCTTTCGAGACGAAATGTTGTGCGTGAAACGCAGAAATGGGGTCGCTGGGAATACCCCCGACGCGACAACGGGGTTAATGACGACTGCGGACACTTCTCCGAGGGTTTATAATTGAAAAATAAAGCGAGAGACCGAGCGTTTTTTCCAGTTCGCGCGTGCCTCGGTGTCATTATCTCCATAAAATCGGGCAATTCCAACGAATTTTACGTTTTTCAGAATTGAAAATTTCGTTGGGGGCTCGTTTTGGGGCATTTTGAAGGTCATTATTGTTGTGAGTTTGGTGCAGAGGTGAACGATTGATTGAGGTTTTAATCGTGGACTTCGCACGCAGCTGAGAAAATTCGATTAAACGAGTTGTGTACGCATACTTGACCTGTTTATCGATTTAAAATGCATTTCGATGGGGTGCTAATCCTGGGTTTGGAGGGGTGAATTGTTCGTGCAAAATCAAACGGGATGATGAGTATTTTAGGAATTATGTGTTCAACATCCGGTTTCGGGGCTCGTGTTTGTTGAAATTTTTGAGATTTCCCAGCAATCTCAATTTATAATTCGCACAACTTGATTTCGTAGGTCATTATTTGAAATAAATTTCAATGTTTTGATTGATAATTATTTATTCAAGAGTGATAAATCACAGAGTTTTATGAAAAAATGGCTCTTCATGTTGTGAGATTAGATCAAAGATTAAGTGCTTGAGATTTCCTAAAATTCTTAATTTATAATTCACTCAACTAGATTTCAAAGATCACAATCTGACGTAAATTTCAATGTTTTTGTTGATAATTATCAACTTAGGAGTGACAAATAACAGTTTTCTGAGCAAATTACTGTTTTTAGTTTTCGAGATCAGATAAAAGATGGAAATCTAAAAAAAAAACTGGATAGATCTTTTAAAATCAACATCAAAGTTACAATTCATATGAAAAATTATTTTTTCAGCATTTGGAATTAATTTTGTTCGCTCAACGAAACTGGAATTTCATACTACTTAAAAAAATGCACGAGTTCGGGTCATAAGTGCTTAGTTATTGCTCGGGCACACCCACTGCGCCAATAACGTTGGCAAATCGAATTTCAGGACGCTGAATATTCCTCTCAAAATACCCCTTTGTCGAGTAAAAAATGCAATAGAGGTATTGCAGCTGGCAATTTACACGAATTTTCGGGGATTCAGACATCACTTATGGCGACTTCAGAGCTTTTGTTTCAACACGTTTATCCGGTGAATTTTCCTAGAATAACAGCAATCTCGTATTATTTATATCGAAGCGTCATGTATTTTCGTTTTGGAATCGTTTGGAAGGCCGCCCGCTTCATTCCGGTCTTAAACTTCACCGGGAATAAGTTCAAGGGTAGAGAATTCCGTATTTCGGGAGGGATGACTAATTAAAGCGAGAATTTATTAAATATATCCAGGGTATTTTCATAATTAAGTCTAGTTAAATTCATTACGTAATTTAATTAACGAAAGAATTAAAAATAATTAAATAATTCCAGTCAATTTCTGTTGAACAAAATTCGATTCTCATTTGCGCCAATTCTATTGAAAATTATGCAACTCTCCCATGAACTCATTTCGTTCGAACTTTTTCTCTAAAAAGACAAGAATTTTTGAGCATAAATTTTCTCAATTTTTGGTATTTCATTATGAGAAAAATATAAAAATACAGCGGAAAAAATTGAAAATTTATGCACAAGAAATTCCATAGAAAAATCGAAATTTATTGATTTTTTTTTCAAATTTCTCTTTGTCATAGAATTGACGCAGCGGAACGGAACGAAACGGCCTTTTTTAAATAGAACTCCAATAGAATTTTCAATGAAATTCAATAGCTAGGTTTTTCCATTAAATTTTTTCATGCGTGACATCTCGCACTCTCTGGACCACCAAGGTCAACCAATGAACGTATTTCAATGGATCCATTGTTATATTCCGAGGAAATCCCAATGAGTTTCAGAATTCATTCAAAAAGTTGGCTACCACTGACGTCTTTACATAACAAGCATTTCAACTTCCAAGCGAATCTGCCTCTCTAGAAATCGCAGTTTTGTTTGCGTAGCTGATTCCCAATGCACAATTATTCTGATAATCCCAGTGACGAAAATATTTTCACCTATTTTTCACCCTTGCAGCGTAAAAAACATTAATTTCCCCGTGAAGTATCCGAAAAAATAGGGGTACTTGGGGTAAAAAGAACACTTTTGACTTTTTTTACAGCTTGATAACTCATTTAATTTCCGATGAAACGGAATGATTTGTTTTCTATGAAAAAAACAATAGTTGAAAGTGTTCATTTAAAAACTTTGGAAGACTTGGAGTAAAAATCCCGAGAGGGTAAACAAAAAAAAATTCCACAGTCTTGTGTTCTGGCAGCAGTGAGGGATGATCTGAGGAAAAAAAAAATGGAAAAAAAATCGATTTAATGTTGAAGGAAAGAAGAAAATGTCTCGACGGAAACACCGTGATACGTTAAACACCCATGAAAACCAAATGAAGGATAATAAACCCTTGAAATTTCTCAAAGAATCACTGATCAAGGACAAAATACACTGCTGATATGCTGTTATACCTACGATATGTCATGTGACACAGGACATGGTGATAAATATGTAACGAGAGGGAAAGAGAAACCGTCTCGTTGGGTACGGGAATGGTGTCATCAAAATTGTGGTGTTGGCATTAGTCACAGCAAGATCGTTTATGAGAGATGAGCGTTGAGGCAGACACACTGGAACTCGAGGTCTTCGAGGTGAGTCTCAAGGATCAAAAACCCCAACTACCAAACATCTCTCATTAATCCTCTTCTCCATTCAAAAAAAAAAAAGGTGCAAGACGGAGACGACGATCTAAATGAAGCTGAATCATCGAGATCCGGTAAAAAACGCTCATCAAAGTTGGGAAAAAAATTGGAGATTAAATTATCAAGCGATGGGAAAGGAAAAAAACGTAAACGTCGTAAAAAACGATGCAGAGAGGAGCGTTCTCCGTCAACCCAGGTAGTTGTTAATTTTCCATCATCATCGGATGCTGTTGAACACACTGGTGAATGCTCAAAAAGAGACTCCTCCAGTAGTCTCGGTGGACCCAGCAATCGTCACAGTACATTACGCCAGTCTCTATTAACTGTACTTGGCAAATTGGTTGTTTGGAAAGGTGCTAGGTATCGTCCAACACCAACAACCTCAGCAATACCCCCAAACTCACCTCTCGCCACTGAATGCATTGGACGTAGTACAGTTTTCTTTTCCAGCGGTGAGTTTGCCATCCCAAAAATAATCTTGACGTCCACACAACTGTCTTATCTGGGACATCAATAGGCCATTGGTTTATATAATTTCTGTATTATTTCATGAGTAATTTTTTTTTTCAACAATTAAGGTAGTGAAAGATCATGAGAAATAATTTTTTCAAGCTAAAATAAACTTGGCGAAATAGATTGCTGACTGAACAATGTTTCACCTATTCTTAATTGAGGAATGGGTAATGATCGAGTATTGACAAGTGCTAATTTATTCAATCAATTAATTTATAATTTCAAATTTCTCTATTGTTGTTATTTAGAAACGGAAAGGCGCATTCGTGCTAACAATCGCGAGTACAATTCACAATTTAAATATGCAGTGAGTTATAATTATACTTGATTAATGCTATTAATGAGGAGGAATTTTATTAATGGGGGAAATTGTTTCAATTGTAGAACAATTACATCAAAACGTCCAAGTATTCGGTGTTGACGTTCCTGCCGCTGAATTTATTTGAACAATTTCAACGGTTAGCTAATTTCTACTTCCTATGTCTGCTGGTGCTTCAGATGATACCCGCCATATCTTCGCTTACCCCGATTACCACAGCCATACCATTAATTGGGGTCCTCACACTCACTGCCGTCAAAGATGCCTATGATGATTTTCAACGACACAGCAGTGATTCACAAGTTAACAACAGAAAGTCCCAGACGTTACGCGGAAAAATTTTAAAAGTAGAGAAATGGTCGCAAGTGCAAGTTGGCGATGTAATTAGAATGGAGAATGATCAATTCGTCGCTGCCGATGTTCTTTTACTCTCCACGAGTGAACCCAATGGCCTTTGTTACATCGAGACTGCAGAATTGGACGGAGAAACCAATTTGAAGTGTCGTCAATGTTTAACGGAGACAGCTGAAATGATGGATAACAACGAACTTATAGGGGAATTTGACGGCGAAATAATCTGTGAAACTCCAAATAATCTATTAAATAAATTTGATGGTATATTAATGTGGAAAGGAAATAGGTATGCATTAGACAACGATAAAATAATACTGCGAGGATGTGTCTTGAGAAATACACAGTGGTGCTACGGTGTAGTGATCTTTGCTGGCAAAGATACAAAACTTATGCAAAACTCAGGGAAGACAAAATTCAAGAGAACGTGTATAGATAGACTATTGAATCTTCTCATAATTGGAATTGTATTCTTTCTACTATCACTATGCTTATTCTGCATGATTGGCTGTGGAATATGGGAGAGTCTCGTTGGACGTTACTTTCAAGTTTATTTACCATGGGACTCACTAGTGCCAACTGATCCACTTGGTGGTGCAACTGTTACAGCCCTACTTGTTTTTTTTTCATATTCAATTGTATTAAATACAGTAGTGCCAATAAGTTTGTACGTCAGTGTCGAGGTCATAAGATTTGTACAATCATTTCTTATTAATTGGGACGAAGAGATGTATCATGCACCAACAAATACACATGCCAGAGCGAGAACAACGACACTTAACGAAGAGCTGGGACAGATTGAATACATATTCTCCGATAAAACTGGTACACTTACCCAGAATATCATGACTTTCAACAAGTGCTCTGTGGCGGGCAAGAGTTATGGAGATTTGGTAGATGAGGTCACTGGCGAAATCATCGATTTGAGTGAGGTGAGAATTTTTTTCCAATATTCTTCTTTTTTTCTCAAAAAGTCCACATAATTTTTTTGTCCTTGGTTTTTCTCTCTTCCATTATGCACAATGTTTTTTTTTCCAACCCTTTGAATATTATCCTTCGAATGAATAGAAGTAGCCAAGGGTTGAATCCAAAATATTTCCCTTGCCTGCAATGTTTTAAATAGTGTGATAAATTTTAAAAAATAAAATAAAAATGAGACACACCGTGCGAAAAGAAGACATATTTTCGTGCACATTATACAGCATGTGTATGCTGCATGTAGACGGATAAAACGAAAAAAACAACGTCAACGGTGAAATGGAAAAATGGCCAGGAGTTTGTTCGCAGCGTGCACCCATCAATTAGCAGTGCTAATGCGAGATTATTGGAGCAAGCTGATCGTATGGGAAATTCAACCCCCGAGCCTGATATCAACGCCAGAGGGAAAATTGCACAAACACCCTCAGTACGCATGCTTTTTCGTTTTGTTTATTTCAATTCTTCTCTTTCTTTCTGCTTTTGTTGTTCAGTCATTCATCACCTGCACCAATTTTTTCTGATTATCAATTACAGATTGGAAGTCGTATCATCATGAGTATTCGACTACTAACAATTATTTCCAGATTCTGTGGTAGTTTATAATTTAAATGATTAGTGGCGCCACTACTAATGAAGTATTTTATGATGGTTTGACAGCATAAAATTAATATTGTCAATAATTTCACTTCATTCAATAGATTCTTTTTTAATGAGTCATCAATTAATCCAAATTAATTCTATCAAATCATCATGGAATAATTGTTTCCCCTGAGAATATGAAGAGTGACGATTACTTGCAGACTGTTCCACCCCTGGATTTTTCCTTCAACAAAGATTACGAGCCCGAATTCAAGTTTTACGATCCAGCATTACTGGAGGCAGTGAAGAAGGAAGACACCGAGGTACATCTATTTTTTCGTCTCCTGGCACTGTGTCACACAGTTATGTCAGACGAGAAGAATGGAAAGCTCGAGTACCAGGCCCAATCACCAGACGAGGCGGCACTAGTGTCAGCAGCACGAAACTTTGGTTTTGTCTTCAGAGAGAGATCACCGAACAGCATAACAATCGAAGTGATGGGAAAACGCGAGGTCTACGAGGTGCTTTGCATTCTCGATTTCAATAATGTTCGTAAACGAATGTCTGTCATTCTGAGGAGAAATGGCCACCTCCGTTTGTACTGCAAGGGGGCAGACCACGTTATCTACGAGAGGCTGAAGGCTGGTAGTGAGGAGATAATGCAAAAAACCCAGGAGCATCTCAATAAATTTGCCGGAGAGGGGCTCAGGACACTTTGTCTGTCTGTCAAAGATCTTGAGGAGAGCTTCTTCAATGATTGGAAGCAGAGGCACATGGATGCTGTACTCAGTGGGGAGGATAAGGATGACAGGCTTGATGCTATTTACGAGGAGATTGAGAAGGATATGACGTTACTTGGGGCCACTGCCATTGAGGATAAACTGCAGGATGGAGTGCCACAGACTATTGCCAATTTGAGCCTTGCTGGAATTAAATTGTGGGTACTCACCGGTGACAAACAAGGTAATTCCATGTTTTGGATGAATTTAGTTATTGGGTAAAAAAATTTGGGGCTTTTATATTCCCAAAATGAAAGAGAAAAAATCATAAATTCAATTGTTGCCATTCAGAAACGGCTATAAATATTGGCTACTCCTGTCAATTGCTGACTGACGAACTAACTGATGTATTCATCGTCGATGCTACGACGTACGATAGTGTTGAGACCCAACTCCAGCGTCACCTAGAAACAATAAATACAGCATCTAGTCAACAAAATAGGCCAGCACTCTCCATCGTCACATTCAGGTGGGACAAAGAAAGGTCAGGCAGATGAAAGAGACGGAGTACAATCTTTACCCAATTACATTTTTCTTTATTTCATATTACTTTTTTTCTCTATTATTTTCTTCTGTTTCTTCACTGTTTTTATCCATCTATTGATTTATCAACACTTTTTTTTTCAATTTTTGAGTTCACTTTATTATTGAATTAACCCTTGTTGACGATTCCTCGTTACATTGAATGCAGCACAGTGACTTTCAGTCATGCTTTTCTCGTTACATCGCCTGAAAATTTTAGAATAATTCATTGATGATTTATTGGAACGCATTCCCCATGTTTCTTTCATCACTCGAAGGGCAATGTTTCATTAATTGTTGGTATGAAAACGTGTATACCATTGCTTGATGATTTATGTCATGCAGTCACACTCCCTAGACTGTTACAGAGACGAATCTCCCACCGAATCCTTTTTTTCCTCAATTTCATTCTATTATTTCTATTTCATTTTATTCTGATCCCTCATTTATTATCTAGTAGAAAAAGAAAAAAAATGGATAATGATGCTTGAATACTCACTCCTTCTCTTTCTAAGTGCTTGAGAATTAATCCTAACTGTTCAGAATTAGAAAATGAATAACTTATGTGAATCAACTTTACCACATTTATCGCATTGACAGCAATAGATGCAGATTTTGTATTAAACAAAAAATGGCACTTTACGTATCATGAATAATTGTAATAGATGCATCATTGAGAGTTAAATTTGTTAGAAGGAACAAGGAAAATCGCTTTCTTCAAGTTTTCTACTCACGCTCATTTATAAAATTTATTATGAATTTTGTTTTTTTTTTTCAATTGAACAGTGATACAGAGTATAATAGAGAAGATTCAGACGAACGTGAACCCGATTTATCTTCAGGATTTGCTATTGTTATTAATGGTCATTCACTGGTCCATGCACTCCATCCACAGATGGAGAAATTGTTTCTGGAGGTTTCGAGTCGTTGTGAGTAAAATTAATATTTTGATAACTCTTTCTAGAACAGTCTGAATAGCTTTACAATTTTCATTATTTCAGGCAAATCAGTAATATGCTGTCGTGTAACACCCCTCCAAAAGGCCATGGTAGTAGAACTGATAAAGAAGAATAAATCAGCAGTTACATTGGCAATTGGAGACGGTGCCAACGACGTATCAATGATAAAAACAGCACACATTGGAGTTGGCATAAGTGGCCAAGAGGGCCTACAAGCTGTACTTGCATCTGATTACTCCATAGGACAATTTAGATTTCTAGAGAGGCTATTGTTTGTACATGGAAGATGGTCGTACTATAGAATGTCCAAGTTTCTTAGATACTTTTTTTATAAAAATTTCGCCTTCACTCTATGCCACATATGGTTTGCCTTCTTTTGTGGCTTCAGCGCACAGGTAAATCCTCGTAATTAATGGTCAATTAATTAACTACTCGTTTAAATGATGATTTATAAGGCGAATACGATCCTCAAACTCCTCTGTTTGAGTCTCCTATTCCGGAGTCGAGAAGTGAGGGCTTGAGTTGATATTTAATCTGATTAATTTTTCCTGTTAATTTAATTGAATATTATTATTTTGCATCTGAATTATTAATGAATTTTTATTCATTCATTTGCAGACAGTATTTGATCCAATGTATATCTCAGTGTACAATCTCTTTTACACATCACTGCCAGTATTGGCTGTCGGTGTATTTGATCAGGATGTCAACGATAAAAACAGTATATTGTATCCAAAATTGTATACACCTGGATTGCAAAATATGTTGTTTAATAAGAAAGAATTTTGTTGGAGTGCATTACATGGATTTTGGGCGAGTTGTATATTATTTTTAGTGCCCTATGGTGAGTCAATTGAAAATTACTGTTCTGATTAAACTCCACAGTGTCATCTCCAATAATGAATTTAAAAAAATGTTTAATGTTTATTTATAGGAACTTATAAGGATGGATTATCGCCAAAGGGTTACGTACTTTCAGATCACATGTTGCTGGGCAGCGTTGTGGCCACAATCCTAGTTATAGTTGTTACCGTTCAAATAGCCCTCGATACCTCCTACTGGACAATTGTAAATCACATAATGGTATGGGGCTCCCTAATATGGTATTTCATTCTCGATTACTTTTACAATTTCATTATTGGTGGAAGTTACGTTGGCAGTCTGACAATGGCAATGTCAGAGGCAACGTTCTGGTTTACAACAGTTATATCCTGTATTATTCTGGTGATACCAGTATTATCGTGGAGATTTTTCTTCATCGATGTTAGACCAACGTTATCAGATCGTGTAAGGTTGAAACAGCGTTTGGCACAAATGCGTTCACGCCAGAGTCAGGATATACTTCGTACACCATCAACAAGACGTACACGTAGATCATTGCGTTCTGGTTATGCTTTCGCACATCAAGAGGGCTTTGGAAGACTCATAACGTCGGGTAAAATAATGAGGAAATTGCCCAATGGTGGTGATTTTAAATTTGCAATGCCATTTGCTAATAATGTTACTAAATCAGTCAATGTCGCATCAACATCCCCAAATGACGGTACTTCCAGAAATTCACGTAATTTAGACACCATCAATCTTTAAATCAACATTAATTATTATTAATTTTTCATTTATTATTACAACACATTAGAACAATTTGAATAGCTTTGTAATTGATAGTACACGTAAATTATTTCCAGGATATAATTTTATCAGATAGAGATCAATTAATTATCACGTATAATGTACAGCACAAGTTTCTAGATATGTTTAATTAATTAAATACGTGAATAGGGCGGGGGGGGGGGGGGGATTGAAGATTGATGTGATATAGAGTTTCATTTAATGATAACATTCGTGTGGAGTCTGTGACCTTCATGTTACAACAATTACAGAGAGATATATTGAGGGATGAAGATGATGCTGACATGATTGATTGATAACTATGCAATTAAAAAGTTGAAATGAAAAATTACATAATTAATAATTGCCTTTATACTACATTTATTACATTAAAAGAAGAGAGGTGGACATGAATAAAATGAATACATAACAAAATGAATATTATTGATGTAAAATAGTATTGACTGTAAATATTTTAAAGAGATATATATATATTATATTAAATGTTAAGTATACATTTTTTAAAAAAGAAAGTAATATATAGATAAAATTGAATGAAGTGAAAAAAAAAAATTAATAAACAATAACAGCTCGAAAATATGGTGCGGTAATGATAATGAATAAAAAGAGGATGAAACTATGAAAACAAAAATCATAGGTATATTATTATTACTGCGAATAATGATAACGTTTGCCTTGGACTGATTACTGAATATAATATATAATAAAGTATGAAATAACGAAAATTGAAAAACAAAAACAACCTAAACAGCATAAAAAGAAAAGTAGTTAAAAATATTGAGAAAAATACGTATTTCTACTTTTTAATAATTAAAAAAAATTGAAAAAAATTATGGGTAGTTGAGGGATGATTAGTCTGCATTGAGAGAGAGTGTCTCACAATCAAATATTCTAATTTTCAGTGGTAGAAGATGTATAAATTAAAAATGTGAATTAATTCATTATTTCTCGAATGTGCCTGGGAATTTGAAGCTTTTGTTTGACTAGAAAAGAGAACAAATTTATTTAATTAATTAGCAATTTTTCAATATTAAGCATGTATGAACTTTTCTACAAGAGCATTAATTAAATAATTAATTTTTTTTTCCAACACTGAGAGCCGTTTGAAACGATTGAAAAAATTTTCGTCCAGTATTGTTAATTACTTATGCAATCATACAATCTGAAATAGTAGAGAATGGAGTGTGTCGATGACAATTGATTTTACAATAACACGTTTACAGATTCATTGTTGAGACTGTAAAGAGAGATTATATGCTCTTTATTCGGCATACGCCATAAAAATAAATATGAATAATTTTTTTTTCCTTCGTTCACGGCAAAATGAAATGTTGAGTACTTCTGACACATTACGATGAGATAAAATGAGGGAGAGATGAGGATAAAGCACAGCTTATTATCTTTATTTTCCATTAAATGTAAATTTTTTTTTTCAACTTCATGTAAAATACAATTTCAATATGTGATTTAACGAAGTATTTTTCCCCAATGCGTCGTGAGCATTAAAGTTAACCATGAACTCGTTGATTTTTCTGTTGATTATTGAAGGCTGCAGCATAATACATGATTACGATCCACACAAAAGGGAGCAATTGTTGTACCCCAAGAGAAATAATGTGGGATAGAGAAATAACAAAATGTCGATGTCAAAACTCATGTTTTGAATTTTATTATACATATGGTGGACGATACCATTTAAATGTATAGCTTCACTGTAAGCAAATATTTGTATTACTGTCTCCATTTGTTAATACCGTTATATTGCTAGCAATTTTTTTTTATAAAAACCAACAAATGTCACAAAAACTGCACAGTTTGTTAATATAATAAAGAAAAAGGTGAATTACCGATGTATTATACTTACGTTTGTTGATTCGAACTTTAGTTTTTTCGGTTGATCAATCAAATGTACTCGCCAAGTCTTCCAAACGTGCGGTAGATTATTACAATATTTTTCTTTCTAAAGATTATTCATGTTTTTGGTTGCAAATTCACGTGGAGATGGAGATCAAGCTTGTTATGGAAGGGACCACCGTAATATATGTCAACCTAAATGTGTAATAAGTAGACATTTTCGTTAAATTCAGGTGAAAAAATATGGGGACAGGTTTATTTGAGCACAGCATTGGTAATTGATCTCATTAATATCCAAGATGTTGCACTCAACAAGAAATGGAGTGCATCGTTCACTCAGTATTTCTCTAAATTTCTGTAAACCTATGACTTAATAAAAATAACTGTTAACAAGAATGGCTTGAGTTGAGGGCAAATGTGAATGAAAAAAATACCCTATTTTATTTACTGCAAAATAGCATTCATTTACAACAAAAATGATCAAATTCCTGAGTATTTGGCAGAATCATCTGCTTAATCTCAAGAATAATGCGTGCCTAGACTCCCTGGGTCCAGGTGCCATATACTTGTCATAAAAATCCTGGACAAACTCTTCAATCTTGAAGCCAAATTTCTGATAGAGGATGAGTGCAGGATTGGTAACAGAGACATGAAGAGTCACGTCCTTTCCCATGCACGTCTGTATCAAGTGATAAAGCATGAATGTTCCAATGCCACATCTCCTCCATTCAGGTCTCGTGAAGAAGAAGGAGATGTACGCCTCATTGTAGCCAACATCAGGCACGAGAATGGCAAAACCGATGACGAGTTTCTTGTAGAGAACTACACAGGTGAAGTCAGGGTACTGTAGGCACTCTGTCAAGTCGATCCCAGGCCAGAAGAACTGACTGCAGAGGCTATTCATCGCTGGAATGTGCTGTGGTCTTACGTAGCAGTAGTCAATCGTTCCCCTCACCCCAATCTCAACGTCCAAATTTCTCTTTAACGTTCGCACTTTGGCTTTCAATTCCTCCATGACTCCCAGCCACAAAGGATTACTGTCTTGATCCTGTCTTATGAAAGGCTTCAACAATCTATTGGTGTAAGGACTGTGAATAGCTGTCGGTTCTACATTCCCCTGCAACCTCAGCTCGAAATTGACACTAAAATTGTTGTTATAAAACCTGTCTATCACTCGATTCCTCTTCATCATCAGTTTCAAGTCTTGTTTATCTGACTTGAGGGAGAATCTGTCTATATCCAAAACTGTGAGATTGCAATCGTTTTTTATCTTTCTCAGGGCTAGTTTACGATAGAATCTTCTGATCGAGGGAGGTGCAGACTCCAATCTTTTTTTATTAACACTCTGGAGGAGATAACACATCTCGTAGTTGCTCATCTTCTCCTGTTTCTTCTTCATCATCAACTTGTTCTTCCGCTTCCAGGGCCACTCACGGCAATTGCTGATGGTGAATAAAGAATTGGGTGGCTCTTCCACAGTTGCACAACTGTCGCTGCTGTCCTCACACGTCATTCCGTTGTCATTCTCTCCTTCCTCTTGTTTGACTTCAGTCTGCTTGGAATTTCCAGTTTGATTGAGAATGTTGTTCATCCATTCTGGATTGAAAGAACTGAACAATTGGGAGTATTGAGTGTCGGTAGAGTATGGGGTATTTTTTGTTTGGTATTCTCTCATGAGATCTGCGAATGAGGGGGATTGCTCACTCAGGTCGACACTATCTTCAACATCTAGACCGTCAATATCTACAAAAAAAAAATTGGACAAACTTTTTGACGTTTTTCATTTTGACTTTAAATTTCGCTGAATATTACTAGAGATATTTTTATTGGAAATTCCAAAAGGTAGATAAATATATTCCCATTACAAATCTAAGCTTTTCCTACCTGGCATTTCATCGTCAGCCATCAGATAATCCGACAGCACCTCAGAAGGCTGGACATACTCCCTCGAGAACATGGAGGGGGTCTGAATCCTGGAAGACTCCCCAGTGCAGCTGTCATCCCCAATGGAGAGACTGGACTCCGACCTAGGGGGACTTACACAGAAGGCTTTGCTCCTCCCCTGGGGCTGCTTCTTCCTCTCCACAATCATTTTGCTGTTCTTGACGATGAGAACCTCCGGAGGATCGAGATCCACGAGTCTCCACCAGCCCGACTCCCCCAGCTCAGTCGTCCCAGACTTGAAAAAACCAGCACTGTAATGCGAAAGTGTCCCTGAAATCGTCCCAATCCAATTCTTCTTCCTCTTAACAGTCTTCTGGAACAAATAATCCCAGTTCCTGTCCACAAAGGTACTGATGTCTGACTTCCAGTGGAAGTAGCCTCGTTTGCTGATGCCACTGGACTTCTCTCGTAAATTGTAGAGAGTCAGAACGATTATATTGAGCCAGGACATCTTGTCCCTGGTGACAGTCTCCTCGGCGAGAGGACTGCACTCCATGCAGTACAAACTGAAGAAGACATCGCCAACGAGTGATCCAGGTACTCCACCGCGTCTCAAACATCTGACGTGAATGTGTCGGGAACACTCACCACTGCACTGGAGACTGGGATTGTGGTACGAATCACAGACTTGTGAACAGTATTTACAGGTATTGTTGGGGGTTTCGTTGGTGTCACTCTCGGTGCTGTCATTTCGTGACATTCTCACTGTTTTGTTTATTAGTTTTCAATAGGTTAGGGAAACCTCTCCCTAACAATAGGTTATCAATAGGGGGGTTGTTTTGAACCCCCCTATCACAACTCCCCTAGAGGGAGCTGTTTTCAATAGGTTAGGGGAACGGGTTCATTCGTTGGTGTCACTCTCGGTGCTGTCACGTGACATTCTCAGTGTTTTGTTTATTAGTTATAATAGGTTAGGGAACGATCGCGTGTGGTGTGGCTGGTGCATTCAGCCTGGCGGTGGTGTTTAAACGATAATTAACGTCATATAAATTCGGGGGTTTTATAAAGTCAATACACAATTTATTTGTTCTACGAGCATGAAATTTTATTCACAAGAAGACTGTGCATTCCCAAAAAACACAAAAATTATCAAGAATAATGGAAGAATTCATTTTTTCGCCTGCCGGTGAGATAATCGACACTTTTCAATTTCTTATTTAATAATTTTTCGTATTTTCCAATCAAGGAATTTAATTTTAATCTCATTGAAAACAATTTCGATAACGAAAATAACGAGAGTAATTAGGAATCCACCGACAAGGGTCAACAAGATCGGTGTAAAGCCTTCCATGTGTACATTAGGAAAGTTGGCTGTATTTTTCGGCGGTTCTGCCATGTGTCTGTGTTTGATTCGTTGTAACATTCCGCTATATTTGAACTGCCGAAGACTGAGGAGAATTTGTATAATGAATGATGTAATCTTTTTTCAATTTAGTAGTGAAGCGGTAAAACAGTTTAAATCTATGTAGTCAGAGAAGATGGAAATACTTCTCCGAAAACCTTTTTTGTAGAAGGAAATGAGAGCTAGAAAAATGTTCTTGCCGTAAATTTCGTTATCTCTCTCAGTTTATCGATGAGGAATTTCCCCCTCTTTTCGGTTGACAATAAATCGGAAAATGCATATCTCAAATCGATGGCATCTATTATTCACAGGGAATTATGTCAACAGCGGATCATCGGATTGAACGCAATAAATAATAGATGAATTTTTCCTCGGTATAAACATCGAATTTTATTGAGAGAAGAAAATTACACCCGCAGCGCAGACACGAGAAATACTAGAGAATGAAGTAAATTTCACTTTTTGCCCTATGAGAAAAACGAAAATATTTGGTTTGTTGTTGAATAACTCTTTGTTTTTCCCTCCTCTGTAACTTGTTTTGAATCCAACTGAAGAGTAGTTCGATTATGAAAATAATGAGAGTAATTAAAAAGCCACTGGCCAGTGTGAGTAAGATCGGTTTGACTCCTTCAACGTGCACTTTTGGATAATCAATTTTATTTTCACGTGGTTTTGTGAAGTACTTGTTCTTCAATCGCCGAAATACTCCGTTCAATTCAAACTGCCGGATACTAGAATTTTCGTGATAATAATTTGGGATTTTATTAATCCAAAATTGGTATTTAAAAATTTAATTTACCGATAATTGATAAATTCGAGGTATTCGCTTCGTCGTGGTGTGATCATTCCAAATGTTTCAATAGTTTTAGTATCGATGGCCGTTATTTCACAAAATATTGAGTGGGCCATAGTTTTCCTAATGGCTTCATTCGTTTCAAACGCAACTCTCTCCTGGCAAACCCGTCTAAATCCCTCAGCTAAACTAGAAGGTAGTGACTCTTCAGGTGCCATGAGAGACATCATCCTCTTCCTGAATGCGTCCTTAGAATTCTACAAAATGATTCTTCAATCGCCCATTCTTCCGGCGAAAAATATATCATTAATTTGAGGATAAAATTGTTAACCTTGTACATGTCATATTGCGCACTATTTTTCAACACGACAAGTCCATAAGTACCGTCCGAGGCAAATTCTTCCATCGTGTTGAATGGCGAATACGAAGAGAAGACAGTGAGAAAGCTGACCAACGATGCAGAGTAAACACTAGCGCTGACCACCGCTGATATGAATATAGATAGATAAACTATTCTCAAGGATATTTCATCTGGAAATCCTGTGAAAAATATTGCCCGCGTCAATGACTATTGATGAAATAATTCTATTTCACCTTACTTGACAATCCCTGTTGACAGTAAATACCCCAGACATTGGAATAGTGCTCCATGACCTGAGACAACAGATGATTTCCCCTTCTGTATCTGATGAGAGTCAAAAAGAGAGGCATTATGAGGATCAATCCAATGACAACCATCCATACATCCACAGCAAATGCCTGCAAATAAACCATTGATTGCGCTAATAGAAAAAAAAACCCCAAGCAATACGAATCAGCGAATTCGTTGGAAAAATTCATTAGTGCACCTTGAAATAGGCTTGCCATTGAACGCGAGCACCGTCGAGCTTTCTCACGTACAATCTTGACTTTCCAGAGAACATGGGTATCGTAAAATCAACCGCATTGAGTCGCGAATGAGTCATAGCCATTGGAGAAACCCCGATATCAGCTTCATTCCGATGAATCCTTCCAATAACACCGCTCCACTCTGACGTTTCTGGATTCAAACTTCCGAAACCATCTGTCGGAGTGACTTCTGATATCGTGAAATTCATTGTTGTAGATAATTCGTTGAGAATTTCCCCGAAAAATCCAGTGTACTTTCCGTTTTCTTTCCAGATATAAGCGGATCCCTGTGTTGAAAAAATTCTATTTCATTTCGATTGAAATGCATAACCAGAAATTTCTATAGAAAATGTTTAATAGAAAAAATTGTACAGAAACGTGAAATTCTCAGAATCCGTCGAAAAGTAATAGAATTTTTTCTGTAAAATTGATTACTTTTTACCTTGGCAGCAGTCACCCGTAGCTCGCGTCCCTCCAGAGACTTTCGACGGCCGTAAATAGATCCATGATTAAACCAATATCTCCCCGGATCCTCACCGATCCACCGTCCGATCTCCTTCCTCTCGGTCCGATTAACCGTTGTAGACCACCATTCATTGATAATGCCCGAGTCGCAGCACAAAACGAGTACTTCCGAGTCGAATTTCAAATTGAATAAATTTCCATGAGGATTCCGGCAATATTCACAGACATCTGCATCTGCATTTTCAGCGAAAATTATCAGCCACACGGGATAGCCCATGATAAGATCCTTAGCGATCTGCTGAAAGGTGTAAACTTCTACCATTTTATAAAATCCAATTACAACGAGAGGGCGGAAAATTCTGTCGGTGTAGGAAGCTAATCTCTCTTTGAATGTTTCAAATTTGACGGCGATCGAGGGTATCTCATCCCTAGAGAGGCTTCTAGAAATTTCATATGCTCTCGTTAGTCTTGCGAAGCCTGTAGAGAAGATTTCAAGATGAAATTTTGTCTTCTTCTTCTTTTTAACTTTCACAGAAAAAAACAGCGAATTGACTGGTTTTTTCAATGAAAGACTTTCGTACGTGTTCGTCGGAAGAACTCACGTGTCCGAGTATTGTCCGGCATTGCTATAATTATCCCTCCAGTACGATATTCCTCATAAATATCCTTAATTAGAGAACCATAATACGTCACCCGTTTTTTTGCCTTCAAAAAATTCACGGTAGACATTACAATGGAAATGTAAAGCAGGAACACAAATAAATTCATTCCTCCTGAGCTAAAAAAAGATCTCAGTGAAATACACCCACTAACAAATTAATAAAACAGGAAATTCTTGCGTCAAACCTCAATTATTTTCAGCTATAAATACCGCGAGAACGTTGATTTCGTGATACAAACTGTTCCGGGTGTATCAACTAAGAGTTCTGACGTGTTACACGTGTGTGGATTACATTGCGATAGGGTTTTAGGGGGAGAACAAGAAATCCGTACGTGTTTGCCCATTTTATTTACATTTCCGGAAACCCGCAATGACGAGAGATTATTCCGCCGTTCAGATCACTATCGCATTCCCGCAAAAAAAAAGGTATGTACAGTTTTGGATAATTATTCTTCATACAATAATTTACTTATCAAAATTTAATGTTTCCAATATATTATCTTAAAAATTGTTTTTGAGTAAAAATGAGTGGGAAATTGCTTTTTTCTTCATATAAGATAGCTATTTTTGCTAATGAATTAACAATATTCTTCCGAATATTTATTTTATATTGCAATAAAAAGGTAAGTTTATTTAGTTTTACAGAGGAATCAGCTGATAAATTCAATCATTTATTCCATAATTTACCCTTCTAAAAGAGGGGAAGGGGATATTTATTCATTTAAAGTATTCCACAACAATACTATTTCGTTCATTTGAAAAAGCTAGATTACTCAAATCGTGCAACCAATGAGAACCGAATGCTCTCCCGCTCCGCTCCACCAATCAGAACCCACAAAGAATTCGCAACAGAGAGAGATTATATCGAAACCCTGAGTAATCGCATTGTACCATTACTCTCATTTGATTTTCGGTTCTGTTGATTCTCGAGAGTCGAGATGAAGTCTGGAGAATTGTCCATGCATTCTTGACAATTATTCGCAGTCTCATCACCTCAAAAGTGCAATACACCCCCCGGGAATCTGAGGTTATATTCCCATTCCCAAATTAAGACTTCTAATCTCAAGCAGACCATTGCGAAAGATAATAATTCGTTGACAAGAGGAGAATGGGGTCCGACCACACTCACCGAAGATGGGCTCACCTTCGAAAGGTCCTGGAGCGGTCAGGGCCCTTCTGCCGGCCGGACTTTGAGCCCTCCCCAGACACCCTCCAGTTCCTCATGGAAAACTGCAAAATCCTAGTGATTGGTGCTGGTGGTCTAGGCTGTGAACTCCTGAAGAACCTGGCCCTCATGGGTTTCCGTCAGATTCACGTCATTGACATGGACACAATCGAGTTGTCTAACCTCAATCGCCAGTTCCTCTTCAGACACAAGGACTTGGGTTCTTCCAAGGCTGAGGTCGCTGCCAGGTTCATAAACTCGAGGATTCCAGGCTGCCAGGTCATCCCCCACTGCTGCATGATCCAGGACAAGGACGAGGAGTTCTATCGTCAATTTCACATCGTCGTCTGCGGTTTGGACTCGATAATAGCTAGGAGATGGATAAATGGAATGCTGATATCACTGTTGAACTATGAGGATGGCGAGCTGGATCAATCCTCTGTGATTCCCATGGTGGATGGGGGAACAGAGGGCTTCAAAGGAAATGCCAGGGTCATTCTCCCAGGGTTGACAGCCTGCATCGAGTGCACACTTGACTTGTATCCCCCACAAGTCACTTATCCACTCTGCACCATTGCCAACACCCCTAGACTCCCTGAGCATTGCGTTGAGTATGTTAAAGTCATCCAGTGGCCCAAGGAGAACCCGTTCGATGCTACTATCGATGGAGATGACCCTCAGCATATCAATTGGATCTATGAGAAGTCTCAGGAGAGAGCGACACAGTTTGGCATCAGGGGACTGACTTACAGGCTCGTCCAGGGGGTTGTCAAGAATATTATCCCTGCTGTGGCTTCAACAAATGCTACCATTGCTGCCACTTGCACTACCGAGGTTTTTAAACTGGCTACTAGCTGCAGTGCTTCTTTGAATAATTATATGGTGAGGGATATTTTGAGTGCTGATAATTTGCTGTTTTAGAGAATTAATTTGAGAGATTTTTCCCTGAAATAATTAATGAACTAATTCACTCCAAAGGAATTCTTTATATTGATAAAAATGTTTTATCTCAGGTACTGAACAACTTGGATGGGATTTACACGTACACATACGAAGCCGAGAAAAAAACAGACTGCCTGGCGTGCAGTGAAGTCCCCCGAGAGATACAAATTCGCGACAGCAACGTAAAACTCAAAGAACTGATCGATCTATTGTGTGAGCAACCCGATCTCCAGATGAAAAATCCAGGAATTGTCGTTAATGTCGAGGGAAAGAACAGAACACTGTACATGCAGACAGTCCGGAGCATCGAGGAGAAGACTCGTCCCAACTTGACGAAAACTCTCCGAGAACTGGGACTGTCTGATGGCATTGAGATCAACGTTGCTGATGTCACGACACCCAACACAATGACTCTGAAATTAAAGTTGCAGAATAATGACGTGGAGATGGCTGGATAGAGGACAATTAATGTGTGAATAAAAAATGTGTACATTTCTGTTCATACTCCGAGTAATTTCACTCAAGTCATTAAGCCTAATTTAATTATTCAACCATAACTTGAAGGGAGGTTTTCCTATTATAAACAAATAACACATTGTTCACATTGTAAATATGATTTTTTTTCATCTTTATATATCAATACTCCCACTGTTGACACTCCGGTAAATTTTTACATTTTTCAAAAAGATGTGAGACCATTTGATTACATTGTGTTATCAAACTTTAAAAATTAAAGAAAAAAAAAAAGTAAGTATTGTTTTCACCCAGAAAATGACTCGTCTAGTTATTTTTTGTTGTCAGAACATGTTTTTATTATTCAGTTTCAACTCGTCTTTCATATCCACTTGATTATCAAATTCATTAATTATATCATAATTAACAGTGATTATTTTTAAACCGCTGAATCAACAAGAGATACTGAGAGGCAGTAAAAAAAATGAAAAGAAAATGAAGAAATAACGAATGTCCACGTGATGTGAGAGAATGCAACCCAGCCTCGTGATACGTTGCCACGCATTTTAAAACAACAAATGAAGATTATAATTTTTATAATTATTTTCTTTATTATCATCAACGTAATTTTTATAGTGGCAGTGAAACCAGTGTCTGCTGCTGCCACAGGGAATTTGTTCTTCATATCTGCGTGACGGATTCTACGAGAAAGCATCGCACACTCCGTATTTATCATTGGATTTGATTCATGATTCATCACTTCATATTCATCAGCTGGAGGAGAAAGAGTGCACGATCAAGTCATGGGGCGTGTACATTCGATTGATTAAAAAAATTGATCCTGTTAAGCCTTGGCATCTACCTCCATTGCTACTTCCCCCAGGGCCTTCTCGGCCTTCTTTTTCTTTTTCTTTGCGGACTTGGGGTTTGCCGAGGAGTTGAGAAGAGTCTGAAAATAATTTAATTATTGTTTGCTTTTCATCTATTCATTATTGATAGTTATTTTACTATTGAGAATGGATTTTAAAAGTTTGTATAAATAATAAAAAAATTACCTTCAACTCTTGATCGTCTACAACGCAATCCGACTGGAATGAGTCAATTTCAAATGGTAAACCAGTGATTTTATGTGGTCCATTTGGCATCAGTAATACTGTAAATTTAAACTGTGCCACATGTTCGCTAGATTTTTCATAAAGCACTTGGAATGGCTCAATGAGTCGATGATTGACACACTCAACAACCGCCATTTTGGCTTTCTTCTCGTCCTCAAAGGTGCGTAGATTGAAGGGCATGAGGCCATGCTTGTGAGTGACTTCGGAGTAGAACATACGTGATGCCTTGAGTTTCAACTGATACGTCTCGTCAGTTTTTTTGTATATTGTGACCCGAGTGTCCTGCTCGCGTCCAACTCCCTCACCAGTGCTCACCAGCACGTCCATTGCGTACACCTCATGAGTCTCCAGGGTGTACTTCTCATGCTCCTTCTTCTGTGCGTCGTTTGGATTCTGAATAATTGTCTTTTCACCGTCGATTTTGAATTGTTTAAGTTGGTGAGACAACATTCCCTCGATTGGCTTGCACTTGTAGGCACCACAAATTTTTTCAACTGTACTGGTTATTGAGTACGTCTGCAATTGAATGACAATTATTATATTATAAATAAAAGCAAAAAAAATTCTTCGTACCTCAGTTCCAGGCTTTAATAGCCTGAGAGCCGCCTGCGAGGCAAAATGAGCTGCAAGAGCAACATCAGCCTTTCTCCCAGTGACTTTTTTATCCGGTGACGAGCCGATAACAATTGTGTGTGCCACAACTGCGATAAAGCCGTCTACGTGTGCTCCAAGATCACTAGACCCCCAAAATTCCATCATTTTTTCATTAAAAAGGATCAATTAATGATTTAAACATGATTAACTTACACTTTCACCATGTCGTCCTCCTTCAGAATGAGATCGGGCTCACTGGCGATTGGTGAGAAGTGGCAAATACAGTTGTTAACAGATATGCACGTAGGGAATGCAATACCCTTCTTCAAATCTTTCTCCTTCTTGAAGACTTTACTGGTTGCCTCCAGCAACAATTTGTCACCGAATTCACATGTTTCTCTCACTGATGCACCCGCCACACACTTCTCCAGGACTTGTTTGAGGGCCTCTGCAAAATTATAAATTAATGGAATCGAAATAAATTGCATTAAAAAATGGAATATCTCCAGGGTGTTGTTTTATTTAAATAATCATTCGCTTTCTACTCCAAAAAATATCTAAAATTATTGATTTTTATTATATTTTTAGATCAGATCACCGAAATCCAAGTGAATGAAATTAATTTTATCTGCATTGTGTGAGATTTTTTGTTGTGATGGAAGGGATTTTGGTCCATATATAAATCAAGAAGAACCCACATAAATTATTAGATAAAAGGAAAGTTAAATTGAGTATTTAATTTCATCTTTGGACTATTCTTTGTAATGTAGCAATGAAAATGGTGAAAAAATATGATTTCACAATCTCCTCATCTCTCAAATGCATACGATCAGCTAATAAATGAGTTGTTTTCTACTACAGCAATGGCAAACGCGGCTTGAGACAATGATGAAAAATATCACAATCGAGTAGAAGACGTGAGAAAATAAATCCCCAAATTTTCATGAATATTTTTATCATTGAAAAAAAAACAGGAATTATGGGGTGAGGAGAGGCTGGGGAAGGATCCGATGGAGACAGTTAAATTGAAAATTTTGGAACGCCAGCCCACATGGTTGACCGGCATTGGCGGGCCACATTCCATATGGCTGTGTACAAACTTCTCCCTCGATCCAAGCCCAGTGAAGGATAACCAGATAATTTCGGAATGAAAATGATCCTGGAAATTTTTTATTTCATATTCTTACGGTTTACGAGGTCTCCAGCCATCTTATACTTGGTAACAACCAAGTCTTCAGCGATGGTCTTCTCACTTTCGTCTTTGTCCGCCATGATTTCTAGCACAACTAACCACCAAATGGTATAATGGTCACGTGACCCACCGTCTTCCTTTTCCTGTGTTAGAAATCGCGCCCCGGGAGTTTACGCCGCCAACTCGTGGACGCTGTGTGAACTTTCAACATCAACTTCACCCTTCAATTTTTTTTTAGACAGAGAAAAAATGATAAACTTGCAAAAAAAATGGTTTGTTTCTTCCAGTTTGAAAGGAAATTTCTACTTTAATTCATTTAGAGTTTGTTTGCCTCTTTAAATATCCAATTTCATCAATCACTTTTCATATAAATTTTTAGGGACTTAAATTTTCTTCAAAACAAATTTTCTCAATTTTGAGATTAATCGAGAGATCTCTGAAGCAAACAATTGTAATAAATTAATTAATAATCACACGATGAACCAATGACTATCTGAATGTTGTTCTCATAGACATGATTTATTTCACCTCATTAATTTACAAACACTATTGACAATTTCACTTCCTAATCACCAGTAGTGGCCGATAACCCACAAAACCGACGTTCAATCGAAAAAAATGTTCAAGATTCCGAACATTCCATTTCGATTGACTAGTTCCTATGGTTTCTCACCTCTTTGGAAGTAGGAAAAAACTATAATTTACAGTACATGAACATGTTCTCATGGGGATTTAGCCTGTGCTGGTCCTTGATCTCCTCCTTTTATGCTCTCGACCGAGCCTTTGATAGCTGGCAATGACATTAGCGAGTCAATGCCATTTGACATGTGGGTTGGCAATTCAGATAGGAATTTGAAGCTTGTTTTCACACCCTTGTTCCATACCCCTCGGGTACAACCGATCATTACTGTTGCACTTGGTACTGTTGCTATCTAGAAAAATTAATCAGTAATAATCATTCAGATCCAATTAGTAAATAGTAAAACATCAATCGAGAGAATTATTTACAGAAGACTTGTTACTATTATTATTCCTTAGTTATGGAGTTTTAATAATTATTATAATTTTGAAAAATTAACTCGTTGAATTGTTATTGAAATGGTATGCTTTTAATAGAATGATTTTTTGAAGTATCAATAAAGAATGTTGCTTAAAATTTTAATGAGTCTTTTGAAGAAATGAAAAAATGTCAATTTATAAAAAAAAAAGATGTAAATTATTCTCACCCCAGTAGTAATTTCTGGACTGACATACTCCTTAACATAAGGTGTAATCTTATTATAAATCCTCTGGTAGAATTCGATGCTGTCCTCAGCTGAGGACCACAAACCCTCCTGGACACTGTAATAAACAAATCCACCAGCTAAACTGGATTTCACTGCAAACCTAAATGACAGCAAACCGATAAAAATCACCAAAAAAAACTCAATACTCACAGAATCCACGTACTTACCGAATAATTCCCATGATTAATTGATCCCTAATATCACTAATTACTATTACTTCTAATAGAATACCTCAGCAACACGACTAGTAGCTTATTATAATAAACATAAATAATTATGTAAATGCAAAAAATTCATCGACATCTGAAACAAAACCTCAAAAACCTTAATCAGCGCCAACTTCAGATAGTCAAAATGGAATTGAAATTCCTCTCATTATTTCATTAAAAAGTCTTTTGATCATGAAAAATTAATTAAAATTTTTTACGGACAATTTAATGGTGTTTTTTTTCGATAAAATGAAGAATAAAAGAGGGAAATAATGATTAAGTTGAGTCTGGTGGTGTTGAATGCGCCATTCGTAAAAAATGGAATCGTCTGTCGGGCGTATCGTGTGAGATTTGACGTCTCCCGTTCTCGTTGTATTTGTCTGCAGTGATATTTTCGTCAAAGTGTTCGTCCTTCATGTTTTCAAGCTTCTAATTTATTTCTAAAAGGTAATTTTTTATTCACACATCCCTCGAGTGAAATTCTCTTGGAATAAAATACAAATGACAAATGGAGAATTTTTCTGCAGTCATATATGGTACATTATCCGTTAGATTTAGTCATCGAAGAGTTCATGAATTTCGCATATTTACGAGTTGATCGACGAAAATTTTTTCACGAGGGACATTCGATATTGTCAGGCTTGCTAATTCTTTTGTTGTTGTGTTGTGAAGGTGGGATGGGATAGCTATAGTCATATGGGTTTGAACTGGATCAATAAGTCCATGATATCCTATAGCTTGTGTAGTGTAAATGTCACCGGTGTGCATTACAAAAACTATCATATTTCTCAACTTCTTGAGTCATTCAGATGATTTTTTTGCAATTGATAAATCAATTTCATCCCTCCATTCCATTTACAAATAGCTCAAACTCTTGCCATTTTGCCATCAATTCCATTGAGAATACATCTCAAAAACTATTTACAATTAATTTTTCAGTCTCTGTGCGTAAAAAACCTGAACAAGTCATGATGTCCGATCGAAAGGCTGAGTTGGAGAGGAAGAAGGCCAAACTGCAGGCCATTAGGGAGGAGAAGGAACGACGTAGAAGGGAGAAAGAGCAGAAAGATGCAAGTGTTGCAGGCTTCAATAAATCAGCCCTCATTTTTCCAGTATAAAGACTTGTCAATGTGATAGTTTCACTGGGTTTTAGGTGGAGGAGGCGACAGTAAGGGCAGCTGGAACTGACAAAGATCATCGAAAGGAACTGGATGCTATGCTGTCTTCGCTCGGAGTAGCTCCTGTCTCCGGTATGAAAATTATAAAATATTAATTCAAAGAATTTTATTCCATCGACCTTGAAACTCAATTGATATCTATTTCTTCTTCATTCTGATTTAGATGTTTTATCTAGTCTCTCGAGTATGAATTCTCTTGCATCAGATGTGAGTAATAATGTCACCCCTGATGCCAGTATGCAACCATCGAGTATAACTTCAGCACAAAGGTAAGAAAATCATTTTTCCATTAATGGAAAATACTCCAGTTTTTGATATAAAAATTCATAAATAACAGATGTATGCATTTTTATCGTTGATAATTAAACTCATTTAATTGACATTAACATCTCACCCAAGACTGTCGTGGATGAAAAGTAATGGAAAATAATTTCTAATCATTTTTCATACAGTAGTTCAGCAAAGAAAAAATCAAATCGTGAATTAACAGTCGTCTCAGTGGCCCACACAAACATTCCCCCAAAAGAGCCAGTGGTGTACAGTAAGCAGACCCAAACAGCCCAAACAGCCCAAACATCGCACGACGGTGAGTCATATTTTCACAAAAACCTACCACCTATTTTAAATAAATAAATAAATCACTCTATCGTGATAACGATAAATCATCGATGAATGTTAACAGAGTGAGTTAACCATGACACGATGTTAGTCATAAGCTAACTCTTCCTTGGAACAAATATTTCGGTTAATCTAAAAAATTAATCCTCTGATTTAATTTTATTCAATTATTTCCTCTTTCGTTCGAACATTTTATGTTATTTATTCATCAATTTCTGGCGAGGAAACTTACATATTCACACGTGAATAATTTTAACTAGCTCGTTTACGAAAAATCGTGGCTTTTAATTTGTGCACCGAATAAATTTCAGTGCACTCTGATTTACTATCATTTAATTTAATTTCATTGAATCTCGTGGGTTTCATTCGTTCATTGGACTCGTTCGTCATTCATGGAGTCACAATACCTCATCCAAAAGTTTCTTTACCATTTGTTTTCATTAATAAATCATTGCATGATCTCAAAAAAGTTGATTTTCATCAATTTTTCTTTAGTTCGTCATTCATTTTTCTCTGTGATTTCGTTTAGTGGGGCCTGTGGATTGTATTTTGACTAGAATAAGGAGATGATATTATTTTTGAACATGTGTCATGAATCATCATAAAAAAATTAACAAATCATTTATACTTTGAGTATAATCATCTCCTTCTTCATCTCAATTACGGAAATTACACTCTAATTTGAGGAAAACACGTGGTGTTTGAGACATAACCCCCCCCTCCCCCCCCAACCGCAATTTTAGTCGGTGAACCTTCCCGAACATGAAATTTTCAACATTCCAATGCTTAATTATAATTTCCATACCTCTTCTACCTGCTTAATTTTAAATCTAATGGATGAAACAATCCGACTGATATTGCGGTTATTTTCTAACAATGGCCCTGGTGTGGTAATAATGGAAAAACAAAAATAAAAAATAATAAATAAAGGACTGTCCGCCTCCTCTTCCGCAAACACCATCTACTCCTACTGTACGACAACGTCACCAACTCACTCTTGCTCCGCAGGCTACTTTGAGACTGACTGGTGGCGTCCCAGGAAAGGTGGGTCTGCACCAAACTACCTATGTATGTTTTGTCTAATTTTTTTTGTTCTTAAATATCCTCTCGTTAACTGTTTATCGGTAGATATGAAAGAGAGAGTTTTTGAGGGATGTGGAGGATCATAAAAGCAAATTTGCTATTGCTTACATGCTTTTAATTATTTATCCACTCATTCTGGATGGTTATCCTTTGCTGCAGCAGCTCTTTATTATCTCAATAAACTCATTTTAATACCAGAATTAGTTGGATAATTACAAATGCTTACATCTTACTCCACACTTTTCAAGAAATTATTGACAATTGTATGTGAGAGACGAGAACAACTTTTGGAGCTTGCACACCTTGAGCTTGTCCTAGTCGAGCTGAAAATAGATTTCTAAAAACTAGAGATTTTAATGGGAATGGTACTAACACAGGGATTTGTCTGATTAACAAATTATCCTCACTAATACCGATTAATCGTCACTTGACTTGATAACTAATTGATTCCGAACAACTTGGAGAAACGTTTATCACTTGTTGATATGCAAAACCAGTAACAAATGATAGTGAAATATTGTAGAGAGACTTTAGGGGGGTGGGCATAAGTGTGACAAGGCATGGTATAAACTATTCACCTGAGAATATGGATATTTTTCGATATTGATGAGAGTTGAGACTCTTGTGAGGATAAAATTTATTACTTTAGGATTTAAGAGGTTTCAGGGGTAAAAAAAAACTACGCAAATGCCGAGAAAACTTGGACCCATTAATTGTCAGCTAAAAGAGACGAAAAAATGTGAAAAACAGCCGGGAAAATTTGTTCATTCTCCAGAAATTGAATGAAACGCGTTAAAAAGTATCTTATGAGGACAAATAATTCATTTATGAAATGCTAAAAAATGTGAGGTGCTTCCACTTGACATTTTCAAACCTTTGTCAACTCGTGTTCTATCCAGTTCCTCAAGAATGAACAATTTTTTTGAGCCATCTTTTATATTTTTCCATCCACTTTTGGCTGAAAATTCATCTCGCAAAGTTTTTTTTTGCACTTTACTAGTTTTTTCTCAACATCCCGAGGGCTCACAAAGTTTGAACAATGCACGACGCACTGCATTTTATTTATGCGTAGAATACTATAGCTATGAATATGTATGTTTCCTCTAACGCGCAGTAAAAAAAAAATCTTGTACACGATTAATTAAGAATCACACCTAACTACATTCAGTGTATGTGAAGAACACGTAGACTTTTTCTTTTACTTGAAAAACAAAACGAATGAAGAGAAGAGACAGAGCAATCGAGTATGAACCACTAATATTAATATTTTTCGTAATTACATGCTTGAAAAAATGCCGCAAAAGTCATGCCCTGAGTGTAGGGAGGTATCTTCAAATTAGCTGAGATATTTTCATTTATTTACTCTGGAGATGAAAAAAACAACTAAGTGACTATTTTTTCCTCTTTTCCCCTCCCCTCAGCTCATGCATTCGACTATTACGGTAAGTTATGATTTCCCTTGGTTTGTATTGAGTTTAAACACGTTATATATTAGTAGGACCGATCGTCAATGGTGCGAACAACGAAATCCATGAAGAATAAAAAACAATAGGATCAAGTTATCGCTGAAACTTTGGGATAAAATCTCACTCTCCACCCGGTGGAATAATTGCTATCGCCTACTGTTCTCTCGCTCTCTCTCTCTCGCCCTTATCTCCCCAACGAAATTAATATCAAAATGTCAAGACGAAATGAGTAAATTTCTATTTTTCTCAATCTTTTGTCCAATATCTTAAAATCTAAAGGAGATGTTGAGCGAAAATTGACGTTGAAATGAAAATTCATTCAGTTCGTTTTGTCAACTTTCTATTGAAATAAAGACAGTGCACGAATTTCAAAATCCTTGGGGTCAACTTTGGTTGCACGATCTGTCAGAACTGATTGAATATTAATGAAGAAAAGGGAACAATGAAATATTGCATGCAATGAAATTGCAGCAGGGGATAAATAAATAATCGAATAAATCTTGTCACAACTTAACGCACCTTCCAGAGTTCTCCAAATGATATTCACGTTCATTGTAAGCTCAATTCTAGACTCAATTGATATATTTGAAGGTGTTCAATTAATCCATAATCCAAAGTAACAATTGTGCAATAATGAACTAATGCAGTGAAAGGTGCCGAAATTAACATTTAACGTTTGTCTGAGATATCTTGAATTTTTCATTCACAAAAAGAGGTATTCTGACTACTGTGAATTGTTTATTCTAACGAACAAGCAGACTTGCTTAACACTGATTATGTATGTACAACTAGAGACTGATTTAATTAATTAAAATAACAAAACAGCAACAGGCCAGAGTGCATAATTGCATGTAATTAGATTATTAAACAACAAAACTCACTGAATAACTGACGAAACGCTTCAGACTCCATTGAATTATTATTGACCCTGAGTACGTCAATGATTATTCATCGAGAATATTGAAACGTAAACGTGAAAAGGATACGAAATTGATTGACATTTTCTTTTCCCTCCTTCAAGACGAGTACAATCTAAATCCTGGTTTAGAGTGGGAGGACGAATTCACAGGTAGGTGATCAACTCTGAGAAGGTGAACCCTAAATTTACAATGTTACTATATATTTTTTGTTGTCACGAGCATCCTCCAAAGCTTCACTTTATCCACACGTTCACTACGAGCCTGACAGTTGATTTTTGTTGTTCTTGTTTTTTTTTCCATTTTATTTTCAGTTGAAATTAGTCATTCACATTAGTCATTCGCATTTAATTTTTTTCTACATGTAAAGGACTTCAGGCTCCGTAAAATCACTGAAAATATGCTCGTTGAGGATCATGAAAAGGCTTCTAAGTGCTCTTGCAACCCGTAATTAATTTTGCACACGGAGAAGTAATTGAAAATTCTGCCATGCGTACACCTTACGCTGGCCCGTTCGACTTACCTGTGAATTTATCAGGGTGCACCTATTCGACTCGCATGACTGTATTATTTTTCATTGAGTTCCTTTGTCTGTCAGACTTTTTTTATTTTTCCATTTCCTCATTGTGCATGAGACTCAGGAAGTTGCGTTTCATATATTCATATTTATTACATTATTATTTCCGAGATGAAGGTGAAGCTGGCGGAATATTCGACGGTAAAAAAATCAATTTACGGCATTTATGAGGCTTTTTACGGCTTTTTATTTAAACTCAACAATGATTATTATTATTGTGATTAGACTCAAGCGCTTTTTTGTTAAATTCAGCAAAAATTATACCTTGTTTCGAGGGTAAAAAATTGTTTTTTTAAAATACCAATTGATAGAGATAAAAACGAACAATATATTTCCTAAAAGTTTTTTGATACTATTTTTTAACATGTTTCTATAATCATTGTTTCGTTTTTAATGAAGACGTTGTTGAACAAAAAAAACAGTAAGAGCATCAGCGCGAGAAGTAGAAGTTGCTCATCAAATTTTAAATTATGTGTACACCTCAATTTGATTGAGCCTAAATCAAATGTTCCGCCACTTTGAGCTTCATATTTCCACGTGTCATCGAGACATTGAGTTGAAGCATGTCAGGAGGGTGGAGAGACATCGACGATAATGTTGAATTACATTTTTATCGCGTAACTAATGCCCATTGCATGCCACTATTTTTTATTTTACCATTGTTATTCGGAGCAGCATGTAAATTGAGCGCTCTAGATTTAGTGCAGTAGAGCCAGTCGATTAGGAGAAATTACTCTGAATCCTTTGAGGATAGATTTGAATATTGGCACCGGCGAAAAAAAAAACATATCTATATGTATATCTCTCTCTCTCTCTCGAGAACGTGAAGAATATTGAGTAGAATTAGGGAATAGATATTCGGGACTAGCTTATTCACCACAGTTTTGACATATGATGATGGCCAAGCCGAGGATGAGGAGAACAGTCTTCCTCACATGGATGGTTTCCAAAGTAAGCTACCACCGGGTATTCTACCTCATGGGCTGCCACAGGTGAAAGAGGTCCAGCCGGCAGTCACTCAGGTCGAACAGCAGTCAAAGGAGGAGAAGCCCAAAGAAGGTAATAGAAAAATCCACAGAAATCGATTGGCAGCAAAGAATCCACTAAATTGAATTTGTTGTTTTTTTTTCGACTGATTGCAGTCCGGGAATTGAGCGAAGAAGAGAAACAAATGCTGATTCTCTCCGAGGACTTTCAAAAATTCCTGGACAGAACTAGTAGAATTGTTGAAAGGGCATTAGCTGAATCTGTCGATATTTATGCCGACTACACTGGAACGTTGGATGGAGATGAAGGAATGTAAGTGAATATTCCATTTTTTTCCACACCGACGAATAATAAATAAGCTAAACTCATTCTTAATTGTTTTTCGTCTGAAAGGGACGAAAAGAGCCATCAGCGGCTGTGGCTTAACCGTTCATTCTATGACGAGCGTTGGTCCCGCAACCGTTGCGTGACCTCTCTCGACTGGTCACCCCAGTTCCCCGAGCTTCTAGCAGCCTCCTATCACCACAACGACGATGCCCCCAACGACCCAGACGGCATCTGCCTCATCTGGAACACAAAATTCAAGAAAACGACCCCTGAATTCATCTTCCACTGTCAGTCGCCAGTGATGTCGACAACATTCGCTCGTTTCCACCCGAATTTAATTCTCGGCGGTACGTACGCAGGGCAGATAGTCCTCTGGGACAACCGCGTCCAGAAACGCACGCCAATCCAACGAACTCCCCTGTCAGCGAGTGCTCACACGCACCCAGTCTACTGTCTCAATGTCGTGGGAACTCAGAACGCCCACAATCTCATAAGCATCTCGACAGACGGCAAAATGTGCTCCTGGAGTCTGGACATGCTCTCTCAACCCCAGGAGACCCTGGACCTCCAGGCGAAGCAGTCAAAGCCAATTGCTGTCACGTGTCTGGCATTTCCTCATGGAGACGTGAATAATTTCGTAGTCGGAAGTGAGGATGGCACTGTTTACTCGGCATGTCGTCATGGCATTCGAGCTGGTGTCACTGAGACTTACGAGGGTCACCAGGGCCCAGTTACCTCGGTCAGTGCTCATGCCGTCCAAGGGGGCATCGACTTCTCCCACTTGTTCCTCACCTCCTCCATCGACTGGACTATTAAGCTCTGGAGTCTCAAAGAGAACAAAGCCCTGCATTCTTTTGAGCACAATGGTGATTATGTTTACGATGTCGCCTGGTCACCGACGCATCCCTCACTTTTCGCAGCTGTTGATGATTCAGGGCATCTGGATCTGTGGAATTTGAATCAGGATACTGAGGTGCCAACAGCCAGTGTCGTTGTCGATGGGGCTCCAGCGCTGAATCGAGTCTCTTGGACACCCAGTGGGCTACATGTCACCGTTGGAGATGACTCTGGCAAGATTTGGGTCTACGATGTCGCTGAGAATCTCGCTCATCCACGGGGGGACGAGTGGAACAAGTTCCTCTACACGCAGCAGGATTTGAAGAATAATAAAGCCGATGAGGAACTCGATAAACTCAATTTGAGTTCTGGGCCCTCGAGTCTCACCTCCATGTCATCAATTTCTTCAGTGCCTATCAGATAAATTGACCGATTGTTATTTCAAGTGAGTTTTTACTGGTTTCCCCGGTTTCTAGCGCAATTCTCATTCCTCGGGGATTATTCGAGCCTGCCGGCAGTATTAGTTTCATCCTCCTTTCAAGATTTCTGTCAAGGTCTTGAGTTTTTATGAATTTGTCGAGCCGGTTTTTGCATCTGTTTTCAATCTTTTGTTGATTATTCGTTTGGAAAATGTGAGAAGAATATGAATAATTTTTTATGCTTATTGTGTAAATAATTGAGATTATATTGAATTAAAATTGTCTTTTTTACTCGCTAGCACTGCATGATCGAGGTTTCACAAAATATTCGCAACTATAAATAATTGTAAAATAGATTTTAAATTTGAAAAGAAGCTAAACCGTTGAACCCAAATGTTTGTGAGAGTATCCCTGATATAAAATATTACTCATCCCCAGTCTTATGTTCAACTCCATGTTTATTTATTAATCAGAAATGTCCATGTAAAAAAATGTAAAAGCCTCAAAATAATAAACTCTTTAATGCAGTATTTTTCCTCGCATTTCTATTTTACCGCAACCACAACTAGAAAGTCCACGATGACCATAGCAGCGTAAATAGCATGCCAAGGAAACAACTCCCAAAAAAATACTACATTACCCCTGGCTACGAAGAAACTCATTCAAATTTAACAATAATTACAATAAAAGAGAAATGATATTCTTCCATTATGAGTCAATTTCTGTCGAGTGAAATTCCAGTGATATCACATTTTTTAATGACCGCATGACGTCACCGCCTCTGGAGAAAGACCCGTCGAACTCGTCACATTCAAATAAATCGATAGGCTATTCAACTATATTCTATTTCCTCCATTCTTATTTGTGATTCACGGATCAATGGTCATTTTGGCCGTAACAATCCAAATTAATCGTGCATATCAAGGAAAATGAAAGGAAATGGCATTGCCAATGGAATAAAAGAAACATTGGGTGAGGAATAAAAACTGTGGTCAATCCAGACATGATTCAACTTTGAAATATCTCGAAAAGATCTTCCAATCATAAATTTAAAAATCTGAGTAACTTGTATTATTTATTTGAAGAGAATAATTTTGGGGATTTTTTTTTAATTATGAAAAAAAACTGCTAATGAAACTAGTAAAAATAAGGTGTGAAGGTATCGGACAATTGAGGGGATCATGCCCCAATTAAATCCACGTTCATTGCCCCCGGGGAGGGGAATATGAACGCGCGCGCGCCCGCGGGGCTTCTGCGACGTAATGCGCCCTGTGCGATCAACGTTGCAACCAAATACTTGATAAAAAAGGAAAGTACGAATAGAAGGGGTTTTTGAGAGAGGAGTGGAAGCAAGTGGAAGCGTGGAGCTGACAAACGGAGGGAAGTAGGGGAGTTCAGTCAAGCCGTAGCGCGCCGGCCGTTGCTGATAAATCCGTCAGTGTTTGTTGGTGACGACTGACGAGTGCGAACCACACGTTTATAAAATAATAAATACGATCGGCAGTTTAATCATCGAAATTTATAGGTGTCTGGTCCAGGGATTCTGGAAACATGGGGGATACGAAGACTGGTGAGTTGACCTACTTGTCGATAATTCATCGAGTTCTAGCGGGAAATACTTGAGAATATTTTTGCTTTTATTTTGAACTCGAGGTAATCTGCTCACCTTTATCGGGACTGAATAACGTCACGTTTCTGAGTCATTATCATTTCTCAATGGCAAAGAGTTGATGTGAGTGAACACATGGGTGTCATTATTAGACTGTTGTGTGCATCATAATAGGGTGAAGGCTCAAATGATGATATGAGCGAACGAGTTTGCTCATGACTTGGAAAAATTAGAGGAAAAATTCAGCTGCATGATTTGAACATTGGGTTTTGTAGAACACATTGTGATGACGCCGAAATGCAAGACTGCTAATTCAACGACACTGATCATCGAGAGACAGACGGTGGATCGTCTTCCTGAGAAGAATCAAAGGGACGTCCATGTGGCAGGGGGCGATCACAAGGGGATTGTCATCAATAAACATGCAGCTGCAGGTAGTTATCCCTCATCATTTAATCCGGATTAATTTTTCAATGGGGAAATTAATTGTCGATTTCAACCAGCGAATGGGATCTCGAGGCCTGCCCAACTTGGTCTCGAGTTTCGAGTCTTTCTCGTCAGTGCACAGACCAAAAAACATACCCAGGAGTCTAGGAGACTTCAATTCTGGTTTGTTAATTCATTACCAGAGGTTGAACAACCTCATGTGGCTCAGGAGTTCTTCAGGGAGCTGGTGAGTCCTCAGGAATTTCCTAGAGGTATGTGCATTTATATTTTTTATCCGCGAAAATTCGATTGAAAATGTTGAAAAACATTGACGAGAAATGAGAATTAGCCAGAGGCAAATTTTTCCCCTTCACTGAGGAAAATTGATTGATTGATGCAATCATTTGAATTTAATTACGTCGAGTTCATGCAAAAAAATGAAAATTTTCACGATTGGGATTAATTTTTACAACAGATTACGTCGGCTTCATCAAGAAGATAATGAAACTGATGCAGCACAAATATCCAAACATAAAGAAACTGGAGGTAGAGCTGAAACAGCTGGAGGAACCAATCACTTTACCAACGAGACCATGTAAATGATACTCAATTTATCACACACATTATAACGTTCATCTCAAATTGGTTCAAGTCCAAGTAATTGGATGCGGGGAGGGAGGGGGGAAAAGGGTCAGAGGACAATTAAATTAGTGTCGTTGTCGCAAGTGACTGTCAATTGACAAATGTGATTTGCCGGACAATTACCATTAATATAGATTTTTTTTTCTATTTACGAAAATGTTATAAAAATCTTTTGTCTTGCATTATTCACAGCTCGAAGTGGCAACTGTCTGTACACTCTACCGAGAAAGAAAAGTGTTCGGATATCAGGTTCGATTTAGGAAAGAGAAATCTTCACGTTTGCTCTGCAATTTTTTATCAATTCTCAATAATTTATTTGATTTTTCCTTCTCACAGGCTGTTAGATTTTGAAAAGCCCTGTAAAAAAATCAAACAGATGCTGTTTAAAAATAGATATCAATCATTTTTCTTCAATTTGACGTCAATTGAAGAAGGAGTTGACCACAATTGCACGCAATGTAATTGAAAATCTAGACAAAAGCACAGTTGAAAGATTTGTTCTGTAGATTTTTTTCATGAGAAAATGTTATTATTCACTAGTTGTTTCATATTTTTCATGGCTCATGGCTGTATTCATGTTTAGTGAACTTTTTGACAATTTAATGACACTCAACATTTTATGGATCTCAACAGTTGCAGATATGTTACCATAACAACATTGATTTAATAAGGATTGTTGCTTGGAATTTGCGTTTCTTACGAATTTGAATAATCGATAACTGACACACTGCCCTTGTTCTCAAGACTAGGCATGGATGACTACCATAAGACCCCTTTTTCCAGACACTAATCATCATGAAATATCACCATTCACGTTGTTCCATGAATTAACAGAGTTTCTCCATTTTTTTTTTCTTAAGCAAGCAATTGATTAATCTTCATCTTCGCGATAATTCTTTTAGTGTCCATTGATGAGACAGTCATTGGACAGGCAGTAGAATTGACCTCTGAGAAGGTATTGGAGCTGATAGAATCCGCCTACCCGAATCCAGTCAATGTGGAGGACATGGCAAAGTGAGTTTTTCATATACCCAAAGAGTATTGAAATTAAGGTTGCAATTTTTTAATGACGGTTTATGGCATTTAGGGAGTACAATTGGGAGCCTGATGCAGTGACTGGCATAATGCTGGCCCTCGAGAAAAAGGGAGTGGTGAAGGCTATGGGTCTTGGTGCTTTCACGAGAGTAGCTCATCAAGACACTCAAATTAAAGTAATTCAAATGAAATAAATTGTCAAATATCTCCTGACCAAATGATACAGTTCGTTTTATATTTTACGATTTTTAGGTGGTAAAACAAATGCCAACCATGGCGAGTGCAAAACAGCCAACAATAGCGATAATCACAGCTCAATACTGCGAAAAACTGGCAGTTGACTCGATGATCGAGAATAAAGAGACCTTTGTGCGCTACACAACTGTTGGTGAGTGCCTCCTATTCATTAATCAAATTAGCCGGAATGATCTAGCCTATTAATCTTCCAATTTACTGGATCGCATAATCTCTTCCCCCCTTTCCCAAGTTATTTTATGGTGCATGATAACTCTAGGTACTCCAAGCTCACCAGACTCCGTCGATGGGGGTATTCCGAAAGTCATTTGCCGATTTGGTAAAGTAGTTTGTAATACGAAATATCCGTGTTATGATTGTTGTTGAAAATCATTTCAAGGCTTTGGGAATGCTTGTTTGTTTCATCATCATCATCATCATCATCAAGGGGATCAGTGTTTTTGTATTTAAAAAATTATTCGCAAGATTATTTTCAGGAAATCACGAGCAAACAAATGGGTTTGTAGAAATGGATAAAGTATTTTATTAAATAAAAACTGCCATCTCATTTGTTTTACTAAATTATGTGTTGATAATGACGCAATTAAAGCACTTTGTGATCAAGATTTATGAGAGAATGACACTCATTCTAGTGCAATTCTTTCTCTCTCTCTCTCTTAATCAGAAGAACATAATCCAATTATATAAAATGCATCAGCACAAAGCACCTGTGATTCCCCCTCTTTAATTCCCCTGATGAAAATAAAAAATAATTTTCAGGAGAATCAAACGTGTACACCCTCGGCAACATCGGTGCCCATAGAATAGTCTGCACAAAGCTGCCGACAGTTGGACACACGAGAGAAGCAATGACAGCAGCTGGAAATACAACAACTCGTCTGCTGGGTAAAGTTTGCATAGGGGAAAAACCCTTAGAAAAGCTCTCGAAAAGCTCTCGAGTAAACGGTAAACTTTTCCCTCAGGCACCTTTCAAAAAGTCGACTATGTCTTTCTGGTGGGAGTGGGGGGTGGAGTGCCCCATTATACCGACTACAATAAGCACGTGAGACTGGGTGATGTAGTTGTCTCCCACCCGACTCCACTCAACAACAAATACGTCTACATCTACTGTGAAGGGGCTAAATCGAACGAGGATGAGAGTTATCACTTTGACACGAAGGAGTATTGTCCATCGAACCTGGGAATCCAGGAGATATCCCAGACCCTCAAGACGCAGGCAGATGAGGAGTCGAGCCCTCCCTGGAGGAATTACCTTAAAGAAGGTCTGGAGAACCTGGGCAATCTTCAGTCTCAGCACGACTTCCAAAGACCCCCAGACGAATCAGATAAACTGTACATGGCCATTGGGGAGAGGGATATCATCGAGGTGGAACACCCTGCAGCCCCTCAGGACACAGCCAAGAGGACCAACTGTCCCAAGATCCATCTGGCACCTGTAGCCTCAGGTCGAATAGTCTCTCGTGACGATCAACTCAGACAGATTTTCGCCTCTCGTTTTGGTTGTTTAGCTTTTGATGCTGAGATGGATGCAGTCGTGGAGAGCATTCTTGGCAATTGTAGGGATAGTTTTGCTGTGGTCAGGGGCATAGCTGATTACAAGGATGGGGCCAGGGGGAAAGAGTGGCAGCCCTACGCTGCCCTGGCTGCTGCCAGTGTCGTCAAGTCCATCATTTGTGCTATGGATCCACCTACTAATGTCTAAATTTGAGGTGATGTTTAATCAAATGAATTTCCAGCTAGTTAGTAATTGTCAGAAAGTATTCGTGAAATTCTTCTTCTGCGGAGAAGATTTAAGGAGTTACACAACTTTTTATTTCTAGGCTAAAAATATTTTAAAGACCATTTTGGCATTTTTTTCAACCCTAATGCCAAGTAATTTTTCATGTGGAGAATTGAGCAACTTCAATTGCCATCTAATTGAGAATTGCATCAAATACATGAGTCAAAAAAATTATTCTCAGTAAAATATTGAAAAAAAACGCCGTCAAAATATTCAATCAAATATTTCTGGTATTTAAAAAAGTGATTGAAAATTTATTTATATTTTCAACTGAATATTGAACCAAAGTAAAGTTGTTTATATATTATAGTGCAGCTCTTTGATTCATATTTCCAATAGAATTGAACTAAAAAAAAGCGTTCCTGATGAATCAGTTTTTAGGATTAAAAATTGAAGAAAAAACCACCCTCAACCAAAGGAGGGAAATATTGGAAATATATGATAAATAAATGAATAAGCTTTACAATAGGATAAAACAAGAAGAATAATATAAAATTTATGTGCCAGCGTGTTCAAATATACGAAAAGTACTGCCATAATTCATGATAATCGTTGAATATTTCAAACAGTTTAAAAAATAAATAAAACAATGAGAAAAATAAACGTAAAAGCACAGGGTAGTTTTAATGAGAGATAATTATGGCGTTTGAAACACCATTTTATCCAAGTGGACTTGGATTCAAAAAGAGAATAATTAAATTAAACAATAGATTATGCATTTGCGGCAGAATTTAGTCGAATTGAGGATATTTATTTATTTATTTTCATTCGCAGTCTGTAATATTTAGTTTATTTAAAACTAGACGAAAATCTAAAATTCATACTCACTAATTAGTGAGTATGAAAATATAATAGAGTTATATCAAAGATGAGAGTACTCGAGAATAATTTCAAATTCAAATTATCGGATAAAACCTAGAAGTAATTATTTGACTATCATTCTTAACCGCACGTTGACGCTAGTCGCCGTAAAACTGTGTTTCCTCGTATAATTAATAATAATATAAGTTAATTTAGATTTTATCCAATGGTGCAGTGCACGGAGTCAGCCTCTCCCATAGACTACTTATTCCGTCTCGCTTTTATGTATTATTATATCATAAAAAATGTCTTCCAATGGACCAATTGAGTAGAAACTACTTCATTATTCATAATTTCGTAATTTTTCAATGCGTTATAGAACTGTCGTTAATTGTCACTAAATTCATTCAACACGAAGAGAAGAAAAATAAAGAAATCATCGGTACCATGAGAATTAATTAGTTGTGATTAATTCAATTTCCCTCTCATCTTTCGTGTTGATGAGCACTATATTGAATGCAGAGATGAAGAAAATATGCTGCCATTGTCCCACAATTTGTTATGAAAAAAGTTATAGTCAAGGCATTTATTTTCATTCGCAGTCTGTAGTTTTTAGTTTAGGAAAAAACCTCCTAAATTGAATTTTCCATTGTCAAACATTGTCAAACGCCTGTTTGAGCTTCATTACGAAAGTATGTGATGATATATTTCGGACTATTTCATCAGCGTCAAGTGCAACAATAATCGTTAAAATTTCAACAATCAACTCAATGAATTGTCAAACCCCTTGACAACATGCGCTGGCGAATAATTATTTATCGCTTGACTAGCGGTAGAGCTGACAAGGTTGTTTTGTACTTATTACGACTTCGCCATCGTTGGAAGATGATATCGATAATACGTTTTGTATTACACGGGGCACTAAATTACTACATAAATGAACAAATGCTCAGTTCGTAAGGTGAAAACAAAGAATACTTTTCTCATTCAAATGAGTCGGTAACAATTCAATCGCATAAAAGTAAGTAATAAATTGTCTCACCATCGAAATCATTGTCTTCTTCTTTGATAGAATTTTATTTACCAAGTTTTAGATTGCAGAATTTCTAATTATATTTCGATCGAAAGAGTTTTCAAATTTGGGAATATCGATCAGAAAAATGAATCGAGATCATGTTGATTATCAGCGCGAGCATAAAAAACTTCTGGATAAAGTGAGTATTTTCGATTAGTTTATCATGATTTTTTCTGTGGAAATTGTTGATTATCAATAAGTATTACTTGTATTTTCATCAGCCAGCTGATGATTTAGTCGTCTCAGAATGTGACGATAATAAAATTACATCAATTGCAAACATTTGTGAGGATGATGATAAGCAGGTAAAAAATCCTTAATAATCGTGGAAATGACCACCAAAAATTTATTGTAAAATCCAATTTTTAATTATAAATTGGATAAAGCAATAAAAATTGATGAAATATACAATTGATTTTCCGGTTTTTCCATAGCTTCCAGAGAGTCCCAACACTGAGGCTGGTTTCAAAAGGATCATACGAAGGCTAACAGGTATGGCAATTTTGAAAATGAATCATTAACTGAAACTAATGTTGTTTTTCTTCCCCGAAAATGTAAAATGGGTGGCGGCTTTGGTAATCACTCAGACGACTCGGTTCTAAAAATTCTCCTCATTAAATTTTTTTCGTTGCATTTGTTATCAACAAATTTGCAAATTGGTAATACTTTTTGAGGTATAGGATGGCTGTCATGTCGAAACATTCTGTGGTACCTAGTATTCACTGGAGGTATCGTCAACTACATGATCAAGGTCAGTCTGAATCTTGTGATAGTGGCAATGGTGATACCGAGAACAGAAAAACCTAGCAGTCTAGCTGAATGCGATGCTGTTGCATCATTAGCACCAAATTTTAATTCCACGTTTCATTCTTACGAAATGTTGAATCAGTCGAGTGTGATTCCTGATATTGAGGTACATTTTATTGTCAGCGAATAATTCATTTAATAAGATTTTTGGTTGGGGGAGGAGGTAGCAAATTATCTTCAGGTGCGAACGAGTTTGCTCATGACTTGAAAGAATTTAAATACCTCTCTTCCACTGACGAATCTTGCCCTTTTGTTTTCGCTTTATGATTAATAATTCTTGATAAATTATTGCAGCAGCAGCAGCAGCAGCAGCACGTTGGAAATTTCAACTGGACTGAGTACCAGCAAGGCCTAGCCCTGGGGGCATTCTACTGGTCATACTGGACGACTCAAGTACCTGGTGGGATTTTAGCCCAGAAGTACGGAACGAAACTCGTATTTGGTGGAGCTAATTTCCTAGCTTCTCTCCTAGGGCTCCTGATTCCCACTGTCATCAAGTGGCATTTCAATGTCTTTCTGGTCCTCAGGGTTCTCCAGGGCGTAATTCTGGTGAATGAAAAAATTTCATACCAATTAAGGACCTCAGAATAATGATGGCCATTGGTCGGGATTTTAGGGTGTCGTCAGTCCGTCCACAAATGTCATGACAGCAAAATGGATTCCCCCAAACGAAAGAAGTAAATTTGTCAGTGCTTACATGGGTGGATCAGTGGGAATCGCAATTACATATCCATTATGCGCATTTATCATTACTTATTTCAATTGGGAAGCGGCATTCTACTTCGTCTCTGGCATCTGCATAATCTGGTAATGATGAAACTATTTGAAAAAGGATACAATGACCATTTTCACTGGTCAACTTTTTCATCAAGTTGAATAATTTTTCAACAACTAGTAACTGTAGTTACTCTCGCTCGTTTAGAGACTTTATAAATAACCGAATGGATATGTGAATAGGTATTGCTTTTGGTTGTTCTTCATGTTCGATTCACCCCAGCAGCACCCTAGAATCGCCAAAGAGGAGCTCGAGTACATCCTGGCAAACACTCCTGCCTCGTTGACAGCTTCAAGAAAACGAGCCATCCCGTGGAAAGCTATTCTCATCTCCCGGCCAATGTGGGTTACGGCTGTTGCACACTGGGGTGCCACCTGGGGGTTCTACACTCTTCTTGCTCAAGGGCCAACTTATTTCAGGTTCATACACGGATGGGACCTCAACGCAGTATGTAATAATAATAAAAAAAATATTATGAACTAATTGTGTATATGAAAGCGATTAATTTATTCTTTCTTTGTCTTCAGATCGGCCTGATTGCAGGAGTTCCCCACATTCTCCTCATGATTTTCTCCTACTTATTCGGTTGGTGGAGCGATTGGCTCCTGAAATCAGGAAAAATGACTCGAACAGGAGTTCGAAAATTGGCGATTACAATGTGCACGGGGGTTCAAGCGGCGTTCACTGTGGGTCTGAGTCTGAGTGGTTGTCAATCAACACTTGCCGTGGTCTTCATGCTGATGGGAACAACGGTGACGGGGGGAATATCAGCGGGAACCGTGGCTAATCTTGTCGATCTGAGTCCCAACTTCAGCAGTATTCTCTTGGGAATTTGTGGCTTGAGTGTTAATGGTGTGGGTGCCATTTCGCCGCTGATTGTTGGAGTCTTGACGAATGATAATGTAAGATTCATTTAATTCTTAGGGGAAACCGGCCCTTAATGCTTTTCTATATTTTCAGCAAACTATTGGACAATGGAGACTAGTCTTCCTCATAGCAGCTGCAAACATGATGATCGGTTTCATCATCTTCATGATTTGGGGAACAGCCAATGAACAGTCATGGAATTTCTCCATTGAGGAATCTGAACGTGCGGAGGAAATACTTTACAAGGAAAAAGACGTTCAATTATTTGAAAAAAACCAAGACGAAAGCAGTTTGTCAAAAAGTTGATTGTACAAATGAATAAATAAAAAATATCGACTGCATCTGCAGTGGATTTATTATTTATTTGTAAAATGAATTTGACCAAGACAAAAGTTGTGGGGAATGAGCTAAACTTCAATTTCCAGAAGAGAAAAATTAGATAGGAGAATTAGAATCGAAAATAGGACCCAAAAACTGAAATTTTAGTCAGTTTCTGGGTCCTATCTCCGTTAATTTCCGTCAAAAATGAATTTGACCAAGACAAAAAATGTGGGGAGTGACCTCAGCTTCAATTTCCAGGAGAGAAAAATGGGCAAGGACCATTAGAACCGGAGATATTTCCAAAAAACTGAGATTGAAATCTCAGTCGCTAAAGTCAGTTTTTGGGTACTATCTCCGTCAATTTCCGTCAAAAATGAATTTGACCAAGACAAAAAATGTGGGGAGTGACCTCAGCTTCAATTTCCAGGAGAGAAAAATGGGCAAGGACCATTAGAACCGGAGATATTTCCAAAAAACTGAAATTTTAGTCAGTTTTTGGGTCCTATCGCCAGTTCTAATTGTCCTATATCATTTTTCTCTCCTGGCGATTGAAACTGAGTTCATTCCCCACAAGTTTTGTTGTGGTCAAATTGATTTTTGCCGGAAATTGACGGAGATATGGCCAAAAAACCAAAATTGACCAAATTCAATCAGAAATCCTGTGGTGAGGAGGGTCCTATGGACGTTCGGGACCAATGGGCCCCGTTTGTGAATTCGATTGGGGTCACTTAACATAAAGAAACGATCCCCGCCGGTTTTGGGGGTGAAAAATTTTTTCCTCGAAAAAAATTGAAGGTTAACCCCTTTCCATTTTTTTCGATGAAAAAATTTTTCACCCCCAAAACCGACGGGGATTGTTTCTTCATGTTGAAAATTTTAGTCAGTTTTTGGGTCCTATCTCCGTCAATTTCCGTCAAAAATGAATTTGACCAAGACAAAAAATGTGGGGAGTGAGCTCAGCTTCAATTTCCAGGAGAGAAAAATGGGAAAGGACCATTAGAACCGGAGATATTTCCAAAAAACTGAGATTGAAATCTCAGTAGCTAAAGTCAGTTTTTGGGTCCTATCTCCGTCAATTTCCGTCAAAAATGAATT